GGCTGGGAGTTGAGATTACTGTGAGTTCCAAGCCAGCCTAGCCTATGCTGAGCCTCTGACCCACCCCACCTCCAGCCTCCCCCAGTCAGGGTTTCACTGTGTAGTTCTGGCTGTCCTGGAACTCACTCTGTAGACCAGACTGGAGACTCTGTCTTAAACAAAAAATAGATTTAAAAAAAAAAATGAGGAACTAGTGAGATGGTTTGGGTGGGGTAAAGCATTTGCTGCCAAGCCTGATGACCTGAGTTGATTTGTTGGGGTCTAGATAATAGGAGAACTGACTCCTAAAAGTTATCCTAAGACCTCCATAAGAACATAGCAGCTCGCCTTTAATCCTAGTATCAGGCAGGTGGATCTCTGTGAGTTCGAGGCCAGCCTGGTCATCTAAAGCTTCATAGAGATCCTGTCTCAAAAACCCACTGCCCCCCAAATCTGCACCAGAAAAAAAGGGGGGGACATGATGGCATGCTATGAGAGAGCTGGAGTTCACGTGCACAGCCACACACATAAAATAAACAAATGTAATTATGTAAATCTGTTCAAAGGAGTAATGCAAGCCGCTAATCCCAGCATTTAGGAGACGAGGCAGGAAGACTGTGCTGAATGGTGGCAGCCTGATTTTGTTACATAATGCAACTCTGTATCAAAAGGCAAAAACCAAAACAAGTAAAATACAAAACAAGCAGATGGTTGCTGCTCCCCCCACTCAGTCTCTGATCTTGCGGGTCTGGAGTAGCCCCAAAATTTGCATTTCTGACAGGCTTCCAGGTGCTGGGGTTCCAAGGACCACACACTTTCAGAACCTTCCACCTGTGGCCCCAGTGACTGGGGCGAAGCCAGCAGGTGGGCAGAGCAGAGAAAGGCCATTTTCCACATTTGTGCCGAGACGACTGGAAAGTCCCCCTGCACCTGAAAATTCCCCACAAAAAGTTTTGGCTATCGCGGCAACTCCAACTTGTAAACAGGTTACCGGAAGAAACCCGCATTACCTATACCATGAACATGCCCCTCGGCAAATACTGCCTGTCATTACCAGTGGTTATCTTGGTGAGAATGAAGCAGCCTGTGCCAGCAACCAAGTCAGTATGGCATCATGGCTATAGAACTTAGACAAGTCACTGTGTCATTGCTGATGAGACTCGGTGTTAGTCATCTATACAGCAGAGAGCAGGTGTGTGTGTGTGTGTGTGTGTGTGTGTGTGCATATGTGTGTGTGTGTGTGTGAGAGAGAGAGAGAGTGGGATGCCTGTAGAGGTCAGAAGTGTGTGTGTGTGTGTGTGTGTGTGTGTGTGTGTGTGCGCGCGTGAGAGAGAGAGAAAGAGAGAGAGAGAGCACACCAGCATGAATGTACCATGGGATGCCTATAGAGATCTGAGGACAGCCTCAGGTGTGGTACCTACTTTCCACCTTGAGCCAGGGTCTTTTTTTTATTTGTTCCTGGCAGTCATGTCTGAGAATCTTGTGTCTCCTCTGCCATCTCTCCATAGGATCACATGGAATTGCAGACGCAACTCCCTTGCCCAGCTTTATCTACGTTCCAGAGATCTGAACTCGGGTCCTCACACTTGCTAGGCACTGAGTTATCTCCCCAGCCTAGATAAGCAGTTCTTTAATCGTCCTAACAGCTCTCAATCTTTATGAGTCTGCTGGTCATCCATGTATTTGTATGTATCATATAAAATGAGCGACCATTAAGCAGAGACAAGGACCACGATTTGTTTCTTCTACCGTCACCCCTGTTTCTCAGGATTTAGTGCCTTGAGCATTCTAGCCATTCAGTAGTGGTTATTTCCTCGGTTTGTCAAAGCTGGTCAGCACCAGCACGAGACACAAGAAAGTCTTTGCCGATCTTTTCAGACAGGGTCTCACTATGTAGCACTGGCTAGCCTCCCATTCACTCTGTACACCCAGGCTGGCCTCAAACTCACAGATATCTTCCTGCCTCTGCTTCCCCTGTGTTGGGATTAAAGACGTGAGTGACCACACTCGGTCTGATAATTTCATAGATGTAAACGCCATGTATCTTAACCATATGTATCCGAACATCCCTTTCACTTCTCCCAGGCATTGAGTTTCCTGGCTCCTGTGAGTACTTTTGTTTATTTGTTTGCTTGTTTTTCAAGACAGGGTTTCTCTGTAACTGTGGAGCCTGTCCTGGAACTGGCTCCGTAGACCAGGCTGGCCTCAAACTCACAGAGACCCACCTGTCTCTACCTCCCAAGCGCTGGGATTAAAAGCCTGCGCCACCACCGCCCGGCAGCTTTATTTTATTTTTATTTGGTTCCGGCTAGTGTGCTGACTGGTCTGGTCAGCTTGCTCTTATGTAGGTCTGGTGCAAGTAGCCACAACTGCAGTGTGCTCTTGAACACGACTGTCACGCCCTGTCCAGGGGACAACATTTCTCGACAGTCATCCCTGTCCTCTGGCTCTTCAGCCACTGCTTCTGGAGCCTCTTGTACCGTGCCAGGACAGGCTCCAAAGTTATACAGAAAAACCACCTCAAAACAAACAAACAAACAAACAAAAGCAAAAACCAGGATGCGCTTCTTTTGCACTGCCCACTGTACCAACCCGGCACCTGACCCATGCTAGCCGAGTAAGTACTCGATTGTGGAGGCAGAGCTCAGCCCATTTTTGATATTGCCCTAGGTGCCATTCCTTTTGGGCACAATATTATCTTTCATCTATTGCCTCTCTTCCTGGATCTCTAGAATGTGCCCCTTTGCTGTCTGTGATCTGAGCCTGCCTTCTGATGCACGGTGACAGCCCAGGTATCTCCCAGAAATGAATGACAGCTTGCATCTTCATCACCTGTGGTCCTTGGGCAACTTATCTCATTTTCTAGGTGTCTGAGTAATAACGAGAATTAGGGAAAAATATGCACATATGTGCCATATGGATATGCATGAATATGTATGTGCCATATGTACCATGGGAGAGGATTGATTAACACACAGCTAATATTAGATAGCAGCTGGATGTGCCAGTGGACACCTGTAATCCAGTGACAATTACGAGGGACGTCAAGGGAAGGAGAACTGTGTGCAGTCAGCTCAAGGGCAGAGTGATTCCCAGGCCAGTGAGAACCCCTCACCCTCCAAAAAAGTTAGATTGTAATTGTTAACTTGTTCACACGGGGTCTGGAGTAGCTCAGACTGTGGTTGAATGCCCTGTGCAGCCAGAGGTAATCTAAAATTCCTGACCCTCCTGCCTCTACCTCCCAAGACTAGGATCGGATTCACGCACACACCATACCTGGAGTAGGCATCATTTTTGATTAGACCACACCCGCTTCTCTAGGCCTTTGTTTTAGGACACTGGCCGTCTTTTTATTAATTTATTTATAGTTCCATGTTTCTACTTTTGTGAAAAGAACCCAGGCCCTTGTACATGTTATGCAAGAGCTCTCTACCACCGAGACATCCCCAGTCTGGAATCTGGAAATAAATTTATGCCAGTGCTTTTGTTTGCTTGTTTGTTTTTGGAGTCAGGGTTTCTTTGTAGCTTTGGAGTCTGTCCTGAAACTCACTCTGTAGACCAGGCTGGCCTCAAACTCATAGCTCCACCTGCTCTGCCTCCCTAGTGCTGGGATTAAAGGCCTGCACCATCTCTGCCTGGCACAAGTACATTCTTGAAGAAGACAAAATTTTGCTTCAAAAATCTTTTTTTTTTTCAAAGCTGTTTTTTGTTTGTTTGTTTATTTGGTGCTAGGAACTGAACTCAGGGTCTTGTGCGTACTAGGTAAGTTTGTTTACTGAGATGTGTCCCCAGCCCTGAAGATTGACTATTTTATTTTATTTTTTGAGATAGAGTATCAATATGAAGCTCATTGTGACCTCCAATTAGAGACTTTTCTGTCTCAGTCTCACTATGTAGCCCAGGCTGGCCTCAAACTTGAAATTGTCTTTCTTTTTAAGTCTTTTGAATTGTGGGAGGGATTCGAGGCCAGAGGTGGCCCTCACCTCTGGGTTGAAGTTTGTATTTTTGTTTTTGCTATTTCAGACACAAAAGGTCATTATATAACTAATTTCTCTCTGTTCTTTTCTTTTTTTCTTTTTAAAAAAATTTGTCCATTTATTTTACATCCCGGTCACAGCATCCCCATCCCCACCCTTCCCTCCGAGGCCCTCCCCTCACTCCCCCTCCCCATTGCCTTCTCTTCTGTCTCCCTTCAAGAAATGGCACATCTCCTATGAGTATCAGGAAAACGTGGCATATCAAGTTGCAGTAAGACTAAGCACCTCCCCATGTGTTAAGGCTGGGCAAGGAGACCCAGTATGAGGAGTAGGGTTCTAAAAACCAGAGTCGGAGACAGCCCCTCTTCCTGCTACTTGAAGTCCCGTAAGAGGACCAAGCGATGCAACTGTCACATGTATGCAGAGTACTTAGGTGGGTCCCATGCAGGCTTGGGGATGCCTCCACTGTTGCTGTGATGTTCGTATTTTTATGAGACTAATTAGTTACTGTAAGGTTTAGTTGCGGCACCAATCTAATGGTTTAGATAAAACGGCGCAGTTTCCCGAGGGGCAACAGCGGGCCACCAGGGGAAGTGGGGGGATGCCGGGGTCCCACCACCAGAGGCCTCTGTGAGTCCCAGGCAAGTGGGAGGACTCAGTGGGTCAGCGGGGCAGCCTTGGTGGTGAGAGATGGATAGACACCATGCAGAGAAAATGGGTATGGTTTATTAAGTGGGTTGTGGAAGGGAAGGGGGAAGGGGAGAAGGGGGAAAGAAGAGGGGAATGGGGTGGGGAGAAGAGGCTAGTCACCTCTTTTGAAGAGAGAAGGGGCAGAGAAGAGAGTTCAGGCTGGAAGAGGAAGGAAGAGCCACTTGCCTAGCAGAAGGGGAGAGTGGGTGGGGCTTTTCTCTTAAAGGGACAGGACAGCCCATTACAGTTAACCTTTTGTTCCCACGAGGGACCTATTAAGTCTGTATGGTGGAAGAGTGAGCAGACATCTGTTTTTTCATTATAACATATCGAAACAATGATGAGTGCTGGGCAGTGGTGATGTAGACCTTTAATCTCAGCCCTGGGGAGGCAGAGCCAGCCTGGTCTACAAAACAAGTTCTAAAACTATTAGGGCTACACAGACCAGAAACCATGACACACAGGAACAAAAAGCAAATATGCTCCATTGTCTTAAGCATTTGAACTGTCCCCATGGATGATGGTCTTGGAAGGTTTAGTTGGTGTGGCTTTCTTGCAGGAAGTGTATCACCGGAGGGAAGCTTTGAAAGATGAAAGACTCACGCCATTTTGCATGTGTTCTCTTTGTTTGCTTTGGTTCAAGATGGGAGTCCTCAGCTTCTCCATCTGTCCTCTGACTGCCTGAGCTCTGACTTCGTGGACTCCAGCCCTAAGCAACCAGAAGCCCAAATAAAAACAATCGCCTTCCCAGCATGCCTTATTATAGCATTAGGAAAATAGCTCTGATTAACTGTTATAAATAATTTTACCTTTTCTCTCCCACTGCTAGAGGGTGAACCCCAGGGCCCACTGCATATTAGGCAAGTGCTTATCCCAGTGAGCCACATCTCCAGCCCTAATTTGATTGGCTGACTGATTAATCAAGGTATTGAGTGTTGAACACAGGGCCTTACGTGTGCTAGGCAAGTGCTCTCACTTAGCTACAGTGTGATGAATGGTGACACTAAATGCTTAGATGGTGTCATATTAGCAATACAAATAATTGCTGTGAGATCTGTTTGGTTGTTGTTGTTGGTTTTTCTGAGACAGGGTTTCTCTGTGTAACCCTCTGTCCTGGAACTTGCTCTGTAGACCAGGCTGGCATTGAACTCACAGAGATCCACCTGTCACTGTTTCCTGAGTGCTGGAAGTATTAGCGTGTGCCACCACTGCCCAACTGTGAGTTTAAAAAAAATGGCTGAAGTGGTTGGGAAGAGGAGAGAATACCAGGCGGCCTCACATTAGTCTGAAAGAAGCACAATGAACTCACGACTGGCTGGTGGCCAGCTTTACTCCCATTCATAAGAATGATTTCGGGTATGATGCCGACTGACGTAAGTATGACCTTCTCTAGATGAGTGGGTGTCTTTTCTAACCCTTACTATCTAGCTCAGGCTGGCCTAGAACGCCTGTTCCTCCCACTTCGGTGTCTGTGACTGCTGGGATTACAAGCACATGCCACCATGCCCCAATCATGTGGTATCATTGACCATAGAAGCAGATGTCACCCTAGGCAAGGAAAGGTAAAGCCAGAGCTGTAAGTTCCTGGGGACAGCTGACTTTGTATCCAGATACTCAGAGGCTCTCTGGCTTCCAGGCACCTGACGTACATTGTTGAAGTCTGTTTTCTCAGCTACAGAGGAGGCTGAGGAAGAGGGATTTCTGGATTCTGAGGGGTTTGAATCCCTTCTTAAAAATAAAACAAAGTCTGGACTACAGTAAAAAAAATAAAACAAAGTCTGGACTCTGGGTAATGGGGCTGGAGAAATGGCTCAGTGGTTAAGGGCACTGGTTGCTCTTCCAGAGGGCCCAGGTTCGATTCTCAGCACCAGCATGGAGGCTCACAATCCTCTGTAACTCCAGTTCCAGCCTTAGGGGAGCTGATGCCACCCTCTGGCCTTCACATGGTACACAGACATACTTGCTGACAAAGCACACATATATAGAAATAAAATTAAATGAAGTTGGGCAGGGTGGGGAAACTGAGGCAAGTAGCTTCCCTTCAAGATGGAGATGCCCCCAAAGCTAGAGTGAGTTTCAAGTCAGCCTGAGCTACAGTTAGATCCTATGGAAACAAATACAAGAACAACTGAGAAACAAATAGAAACAATAACAATCAAAACACAATATGAAACTAGGCCAGGTGGTGCTTGGGAGACTGAGGCCGGAGGATCACAAGGTCTGCATCATCCCAAACTACACAGCAAGACCCTGTCTGGAAAAAAGTTAACCCAGTCTGGCAGTCCAGCGCCACAATTCTAATCAGGAGGCTGAGGCAGGAGGATCACAATTTCAAGTGTGATCGTCTCTACAGAGTGAGTTCAAGGACAGCCTTAGCGAGTCCCTGTCTCAAAGAGAGAAAGGAGGGCTGGCCATGCAGGTCAGTAGTTGGGTGATTGTTTACCACATTGCAGAACCGAGGTTCACTCAGTCCCCAATAATATAAAGAACATCAAAACCCCAAATGCAAAATTGTTAAGAGCCAGTGAGATGGCTCGCCAGGTGAGGTGCTTGCTGTCAAGCCCGAAGAACTGAGTTCTCTTCCCAAAGTGTGGAAGGAAAGAGCTGATTCCACACATCCCACATACACAGATATAATAAATAAATAAATGTTTAAAAAAATTAAAGCGTTATTCTGTGTTTGTGTGCATGACCCTGTAAGTTCGTGTGTGTGCATGAAGCTGCTGGAGGACAGAAAAGGATGTCAAACCTCCCGGAACTAGACTTACACGTGACTTTGTGAGTTACCATATGGGTGCTGGGAACTGTACCCAGCTACAATGTAAAACAGAAAAAAAAAAAAACTACAAAAAGTATGAAAAGCAGAGGAACAAAACAAAACAAAAAACCCCTCAAATCCACCACTTCCATAAAACAAAAACAGAAACACAAACAAAGCAAGCTCCTTCAAAGGGTCGGACAGGTCGAGGCCGAGAAGCACTGGCCACGCTGAGGTGGGTCTGCTTCTAGTAAGACGGGCTTGGAAAAGAGGAAGCCTATGCTGAAAAGTAAGTTTCTCCAAAGGATCAAGTGGGTTAGTGGCTGCCTTTGTTGTCCACTTGGATCTCAAGCAGTCTGGATGTGGGCTGAGACAGTACTCAGCAGCTAACAGCTTCAAAAGATGGCTTGAGTTGGGGATCTTCTGTCTGTTCTGTGGTAAGGAAAGCAGCTGGCTTTTTCATCCTTCAGATCTGTAGCTGGGCTCCAGGAGAGCCTACAGATTCCCCCGTCTGACTTTCTGCTTTTGCTTTATTTAAAGAAGCTTTTGTTCGCTCTTACCAGGGGTTGGAGGGAAATACAAAAAAATACGGTGGGCCTGGAAGGATGGCTCATCAGTGAGGAAGGAGTACAGACTTCTCTGGCGGAGGACAGAGGTTGACTCTTAGCACTCAGATCCAATGGCTCACAACCATCTAGAACTCCAGCTCCAGGGTTTCTAATGACCTCTTCTGGCATTTGAGAGCAATCCCATGTAAGTGTGTAAACCCACATATAGATACACACACACACACACACACACACACACAAATAGTGACAGGATATAACCCCCCAAAGCATCTTTTGTTTCCCTTCCTGATATCTATCCATCCATCTGTCTCCATCCATCCACCCATCTATCTATCTGAGACAGGGTCTCTCTCTACATAGCTCTGGCTGTCCTGGAATCCACTATGTAGATGAGACTAGCTGTGAACTCACAGACAGCTTATCTTTTTATTTTGTTTTTTGAGACAGGGTTTCTCTGTGTAGCTTTAGAAGTCACTCTGTAGACCAGGCTGGCCTCGAACTCAGAGATCCACCTGCCTCTGCCTCCCCCTCCTTACCCCCTGAGTGCTAGACTTAAAGGCATGCTCCACCACCGCCTGGCCTAAGACAATTCCTTTCTGTAATTTTGATGTAATTGCCATCCTGCAATTAGCTCTGTAGATCAGGTTGGCCTCAAACTCACAGGGATCCACCTTCTTCTGTCTCCAGAATACTGAGATTAAAGGTGTGCACCACCACAATCTCCTAGCTACATATTCATATTTTATACTTTAAGATCCACTTTAAAAAGATGGGTGTGGTGGTGCAGAAGCAGGTGAATTAGAATGAGTTCAAGGCTAGCCAGATCTAAACAGTGAGGCCTTATCTCAAAACAAAGCAAAACCAAAAAAGATCTATATTGTGTTCCTAGATCTCTACAGTTTCTTCTACAGTTTCTCTACAGTTTCTCTTGGACTCACTATTTGAACTTAATCATAGAATGCCTTTTAACGTTTTAAAAAAATAATTTATTATTATAATGTATATATTTGTGTGTGTGTGAGAGAGAGAAAGAGACCCCTATTGAGGTCAGAGGACAATTTTATGGACTCAGTTCTCTTCTTCCACCATGAATAGTTTCAAGGATCAAACACCTCAAGTCCTCAGCCTTCCTCGTCCAGTACCTTTATTCGCTGAGTTATCTCACGGACCCACCACTTCCAGTTCAGGCAGTGCCTGAGATCAAAGGCAGGGCTTCAAAGATGCTAGGCAAGCACTCATAACCTACAGCCCCATCCTCACCTTTCTGAGACAGGGTTTTCCTGTGCAGCCCTGGCTGTCCTGGAACTCACTGTTGTAGGCCAGGCTGGCCTCGAACTCAGAGACCCGCCTGCTTCTGCCTTCCCAGTGCTGGGATTGAAGGCAGGCACTACTACACCCACCTAACCTAGAATAATTTTTGTAAGAGAGAAATAAATCATGCAGATACTAATTACTTCTACTGCATTAATTTAAAAACCTTAACAAGAAAAGGCCACATTGCTAGGTGGAGGTGGCGGCACACGCCTTTAATCCCAGCACTCAGGAGGCAGAGTCAGGCGGATCTCTATGGGTTTGAGGTCAGCCTGGTCTACAGAGCAAGTACCAGGATAGGATGCGATGCTACAGAAAAACCCTGTCTCGAAAAATCAAAATAAAGAAAGAAAGAAAAAACTACATTGTCCAATTCAGCTCCAGAAGCCCAGGGGCATGGTTCCACTGGGCTCAGTGGTTGGTGTGCACATTTGCCCAGGTGTCCAAGGCCCTGGATTAGATCCCTGGCACTGACAATCAACTGCTTTAAAACTGGCCTGGCTGTCCCTTCAAACCTCCTCCTACACATCTCTGATTACAAACATTGCCGTCAACCTTTGACACAGACTTGATTAGATCTATCATATGGAAATGACCTATGGGTCACTTTGATTAGTGTTCAGCTTAGTGATAGGAAATGATACTCTTTCTCCCATGTGCCAGCACAACTATGGCTCTCATCTTTCCCAAACCACATTTATTTAATTATTGGAGTGAGTTTTCTGATTCTTTGTTGGAGTTTTCCCCACCCCTGACCCTTTTATTTTTTGTAGGGTTGATTATGTAGCCCAGGCTGACCCGGAACTCCCCAGTGGCTGGCCTCGGCACCAGAGGGCTGGAATTACAAGTGGCACCACGCCCAGTTAATAATTCACTAACTTTTAAAAGTTTTTTTTTAATATTTTATTTTATATTATGTGGGTGTGGGGTGGGGAGGGGCAGATGTGTGTGAAGGCAGGTGTCTGAAGGGAGCAGAATAGGACCTAGGACCACTGGAAGCTAGGGCTTCAGGGGGTGTGAGAGCTGACTTGGGTGCAGGGAACTAAGCTCAGGTCCTCCAGAAGAGGAGCAAGCACCACTAACAGCGGGGCCATCGTCTCTCCAGCCCCCACTCATTTGTTTGTGTGTTTGTTTACTGAGGAGGGGAGGGCAGAGGACAACCTGGGGGATTTGAGAATTACAGAGATCAGACTCCACTTGGCGGCCCCTCCACCCACAAAGCCATCTCACCTGCCCTTATCCAGCCTGGTACCTTTGGACCCTTCCAGGTGTAAGTGCTTTCCAACATCAACTCCCAGAGCTGTCCTCTGACCTCCACATGGTCACTGTGGTCTGCACCCATGCCCCCTTGGCCCACATCAATGTAATAATAATAATAATAAAATGACATTTCGACAATCTCTCTTCCTGCTTCTGTCACCGTCATCATCACAATCGGCTGCTGCCGTCGTCATGGCTGGCGTTTGTTAGGTAGGAGTCTGCAGCGTCTGGGGCTGCTCACTGACCTGCTTCTTACAGCAAGGAGGTAGGCGATACCATCTGCATCCAGTCCACACCTTAGGAAGAAAGGTTAGGAAATGGCCGTTTGCATAGCCACCAGATACTACTCAGAATGGAACGCAGCCTAATTGAATCTTCTTTATTTTTTCTCACCTTCTTTTATTTTTTTCTGAGCCCACTTAAATGTTCTGGGTTTTTGTTGTTTGTTTGCCTTATTTGGGGATGAACCCCAAGAATGCTAGGTGAATTTCTTTTTCTTTTCCTTTCTTTTCTTTCTTTCTTTTTCTTTTTCTTTTTCTTTCTTTCTTTCTTTTTCTTTTTTTTTTTTGAGACAGAGTTTCCCAATAACTCTGGAACTCGCTCTGTAGATCAGAGCTGGTCTTGAACTCACAGAGATTCGCCTGTCTCTGCCTCCCAAGTGCCGAGATTAAAGGCGTGCGCCACCACTACCTGGCTCTGTTTTTGCTTTTTTGGTTTTTGTTGTTGCTGTTGTTGTTGTTTTTTGAGACAGGGTTTCTTTGTAGCTTTGGAACCTGTCCTGGAACTAGCTCTTGTAGTCTTGTAGACCAGGCTGGATTTGAACTCACAGAGATTCGCCTGCCTCTGCCTCCCGAGTCCTGGGATTAAAGACGTGCACCACCACTGCCCATCATAGAGAAATGTTTATCATTGAACTAATTACTCAGCCATAAATCTGGCTTCCCTATACAGCTCAGTTTGGCAATCCTCCTGCCTCAAACTCTCACGTGCTAGGATTACAGGTATGGGCGACTATACCTGTTTCATAAAATGATTTTAATCATGATCTTTATGTTGGGTTATATTCTTTCTCGTCCATCAGTGTCTGTTGGGTGAAAGGTGGGCATGGTGGGGGCATGCTTGTAACGTAGGCAACTGCGAAGGCAGAAGCAAAGGAATTGTGTGGCCTGCCTGGGCTAGGGAGTGTATGGTGAGTATATTAGGAAGTACAAAAGGGCCGGGCAGTGGTGGCGCATGTCTTTAATCCCAGCACTCAGGAGGCAGAGGCAGGTGGATCTCTCTGAGTTTGAGGCCAGCCTGGTCTACAAAGAGAGTTCCAGGACAGCCAGGGCTACACAGAGAAACCATGTCTCTCAACCTCCCTCCCGACAAAAAAGGAAAACAAAGTGGGGGAGGTGATAGACATAAATGAAGAGATAATGAACAGGAAGTTTTGTTGTTGTTTTAAGAGTAGAGCTTGTGTATCTCTGGCTAACTTTGAACTTTAGATCCTTCTGTCTCTACCTCTTTTGTGCTGGAATTATGCTCCATGGTGCCATTTACACAGTGATGGAGATCAACCCCTGGTTTCATGTATGCCAGGCAAGCACTCTATCAATGAACTGCAGCCCCAGCCCAGAGATTTTTTTTTTTAACGACCCCACATGACTGTCAGATGGGTGGAGGGGGCAGTGAATGAATGCTTGGAGTTTGTTCAGCAAAAATGTGGAAGTACATCTGCCTCCCTTGTTCAGAGCGCAAGGCTCTGAATAAGAGGGGTTTGGAGTAGAGCTCAGTGAGGGGAGGGGAGGGTACATGGAAGACCCCGGATTTATTTCCCAACATCATACATCTTTAGAAGAGGACGGGGCACTTCCAGGACACTTCAGAGTCTTCAGAGGCACTAAGTCTGGAATAAGCACGTGCCAGGAGAGTGAAATCGAGTGGGAAATACCCTATGTGGGCAGAGCTGAGGGCCTGACGAGAGGAAAGGACTGGAGGCCACTGGTGTTTTCAAAGTGTCTGTTTAGAGACAGGCTTCCTCTAGAGGAGGCTAGCCTAGCCCAGATGCTGGAATTGAAGGTGCACGCACCACCCCAGGCATTCTAGTGCTTTTCCTGGCGTCCTGCTCAAAGCCAGCGTCCTTGGAGTCTGAAAACGCTGAGAAAACAGAGGAGGAGCAGAATGTGGGTCATTCCTTCGGCTCCCTTGGCTGTTGTGTTAGCTCTTGTATGACCCTGTGTCACACTACTTACGTTTCATTTTCCTATCTGCAAAAAAGGAAGTAATTCTTGTTCCCCTGGGTTTTCTCCTTTCGTCATCAAAAATGAATGAGTTAGGCAACGGAACACAAACAAAAGGGAAATATGTCATGTTTTGTAAGAGGCATCCATAAAAGTTGTGGAGTCTCTGGGCATCTTTATAAATGTAAAGGAAACATTTAAATGCGTTAACAACTACAGCCATAAGAGGCTCGTTCCTCCTTTAAATCCCTCGGACTTAAAAACAAAATAACGAAAATGGGATGCGGTTAGCTTTCAATTACTTTGGCCGCTGAATAATTCAACTTATGGATTACAGAGGATGAGAGCTGACTCATTTCACACGTCGTCACCAACTCTCCATGAAGTTTAAAAGGACAAAAGAAGAAAGCGGAATCGGGTAGCTTTCCGTGGTATTTCCACGTGTACGTGGGGAATTTCCTTTGAGACAGGGCTGGGGTCGGGGCCAATAATAGCCGGTATCGCCTGACTGCTAATACCAAGCTGAGAAGGGGACTACCCGAGCAACCTCTGATTAAACACAGCGGCCCCCTCCCACCCTCGCCGCTATCAGGAATTTTCCTTCTTCCTCCCGCCCTCTCAAGAGGGGCTGAGGCAGCATCTGGCACCAGAAAGCTAACATTTGTGTTGTGATTTCCTCTCTCGGGCACTAGGACTCGGGTGATTTCTGAAGGGATCAGGACCTATTGGTCCCTTTAAAATTCTTTCTTTCTTTTTCTTTTCTTTCTTTTTTTTGCATTTCTAAATTGAGAATCTTTATCACCGTCTCCTCGCAGCCCGGGTCTCCCGGGTCTCTGTAGCTCGCCCCCACTCTCCTCGCAGGCCTGTGACTCCTTCACTCCCTCGGTGTGCAAACGCCGGTGACTCACGTCTTGCACAGCCTGCGCCCCCCCAAAACACAACCCCCACCCCCAGGATCGAGCCCACAGCGCGCATCGTCACCCCGCCCCGGCAGCCTCGGAGGTCTCGGGGCTGAGTCACACAAGAGGACCACCCTGCTCGGCGTCCACACACATGCACGCGGTCCCCCCGTACGGCCTCCGCGCCGGCCACACCAACGCCCTTCCATGGCTCCCAACTTGCTACGCTCCTCCAGCGCCAGCGCTCGACCCCCTATTTCCCCCCCCAAAGCACACCCCAAATCTCCGGGAAACCTAGAGCCGGCGGAGCTGGCCTCGGGCGGCCTTTGATGGCTTTGTTATTGTTTGGGTTTGAATCGATACGCCCCTCCCCATCCTTCCTCCCCGGCCGCGCGCGCCACCCAGCTCCCGCCTCCCCGCACGCCCAGCGCCCCTCCCCCTCCGTTTTGGCGCCTTTTCCTTCCCGCCACGTCGTGGCGGCGTTAGCGACCATTCTGACCGCGAGGCGCGGGGCGGGGCGAGGGCGGGGCCCGCGGCGTGTTATGCAGATGAGGTCGCTCCCGGTTGGCTGGAGCCGCGCCCGTGGGGGTGGGGCCGGGGGAAAG